CAAAAAAATCGTTTATTTGGTATGGGTAATAATATAAATAGAACTTTGAATAACTTGATAAGCGAATTATTGAATATTTTGAAGCCTACTTTTTGGGTTTAAATACCGATATAGAAAATGACCGTAAATAGACTCTCTCCTCAATTTTTTACACCATCAAGTTTCTTTCCATTCATTTAGTTCAGCCATGAAAACAATTTCATAAAAATTTCTTGATTAGTTTGACATTTATTAGAATTTAACAAATCATTTATATGTTTGTATGTTTAGTTTATATTTAGGTGCATTGGAGACTTTTGAAGCATGTTGGTGTTACATAATTTGCATAGATATGTCGTCTCTAGTGGCTCCAGGCGGCAACTGGTTGAGTTTTGAGCTCCAGCGATCGCTTTCTTTTGCAGAGAGGCCTCAGTAACATTGTTAAGCAGGCAGATTTGCGTACAGGATATGAGATTGTTTTTTCTGTTTAGACAAATTTGCCCGTTGTTGATGTTTTTCTGATACTTGTTTATGATACTCGAAATATTTTACGTGTATTTACCATCGCTGTTTGAGAATTTCGTTTCGGATTACGTTTCGATATCTTTTTATATCTTTTTCAAATACCCATTCGCAATATTTAAATGACAGCAACAGTAGAGTCGTTCTATGTAAACTAAGTGCGAGATATAAAACTAAATTCATAGTGCAACTAGTTCAACTAGAAAGCTTACAAATCAAGGCACTAACTAACTATAATACGACTAGAACTACATTTTGGTCTAGATTTATATTCGATAAAAACTATGTAAGAGTTGACAAAAGTTGGGCTTAATATAGAACTGGCTTAAGATCTTTTTATAAGCATTGGGGTATAGATAACCTTTAAGCTGTCATTGATCCTATAATGAATGTAAAATTATATTATTCTGAAATACTTAGGCAAAAATAAAAGTTCTTAGATCTGAAACTAATAATTCACATATGCTCTCGTTCGTATGTGTTTGGTTTTTTCTATAATCTATTTAAATAAGCATTTAGGTAAGATTTGCTCATGGGAGTTATACGAAAGGTTTTTCGAGCATATTCTTGAATGCTTATTACACTTTGTAGTTTGCAGAGACTTACTTGGCTGGCTGTGAAGAGTTAACGACAAATTTTCTATTTATGCTGGTAGAATTATGTGAATAATTTTTCTCGTTGAGAGTTTTGGATTGGTCATTCGCCAAGAAAGTCGATTTATATCATAGATTCAAGAGACAACGTAACAAGCTAGATGCAATGCCTTAGTGAGTCACTGCTCTATACGAATAGTACTTTTTGATTACAGTTAAATATCAACTAGAGATTGTAATATACCCGAGGGGTTAGATAGGAATTGCTTTGGTTATTGAATAGTTTGCTGTTCGAAATGTGGTTCTACTGTGTGGTACTGAAAAGATAACTCAACATCGATGGCTGCACGTGAAAGCTTATAGTTGCCTCTTCCCACTTGGTATGAATCAAACGCTGCAATGGGGTGTTGAGCGTTGACTCCTCCTTGGCGACCACATCGTTGCCAGCGCTAGCGCCACTAGCAGCACCACCAACACCACCACCGCCGCTAGCGCCAGCCACACCACCACCGGCAGCAGCACCTCCAACGGCCGTGATTGCCTCGTCCTTGGCCTGTTTGCCAACTGTCTGCGAGCTGCTCTCCGGCGTGATTGGTTGTCGCTCCAACATGACCAATGCCTGCTCATTGTAGGTGCGATTATCGATGGTCATCAGTATCTGATGACCCGAACAGCTATAGTAATTCACATCGAAACGTGACTCGGCATGATAATTTCTCAACAGATCCGGATTACGATTGAATATGACGCCATAGTGCCCAGTGCAGCTGGTTATCCAAATCGGGTAGTTGGGCGTCTTCAAGCGAGACCCCGGTTGCCGTGACTGGTTGACAGCAGCCTAGCGGAGTGGGAAATCCGGATGAACTTGTTCCTTAGCTTTAACTCGACTCACATTCCACTTACACTTGTTGATTCTATGTCCCAGAGCAGCAGCCCAATCATGCAACGCTTCAGTACTCCATACTGTGCCACAGCCTGAAATCGGATGGCAAATGGAAACGGAAAACAATGCAAATCTTCATCAAAGCTCTGGCCTATCGAATCTTCCACTCACATAGCTATTCTCATCGCCCACATTGATAACGCCATTGTGTATATAGGGCGTGGCACGCCCTGTCAGCAACAAGGTGACAATCATCAGCGAGCCCTCCTCATGGTTACCCATGGTTAATGGCATCGACTTGCTGGAATCCAGATCCGTGCGCACTCTGAGTAGATCGCATTGAAAAGAGTAATAGATGGATGGGATTATAAAAACTCTTTTGTATCAAATCTAATATGTGGGCGTAAAGTTCACTCGCTTTCGCTGAATTCTTACTTTCCCATCGAGCGAGTGAGTACAGCGCTATAGAGAAACAGCAGAGTGCCCGGGGTTTCCTCTTCTGTAAACTTTTGAATGGCATTAGTCAAGTGCACTAAATAAACATAGACTAACAATAAAGGCAACTCAAGCTAAAGAAATTGTTTCATTCAATAATTCGTAAACAATTTCTTTAACTTCTTTTCTTACGTATTGAAAGTTTCGCTTCAAAAAGTGTTCCAGTTCTTCGTTGGGCGAGAGAGTAAAAGTATAGAGCTGTAATAAGAATATATAAATAAAACAGAAAAAATATCTAAAATTAAAAAAGAAAAATTATTGCAGTAAAGAAAATTTTATTAAAAATAATAATAAACCAATATGTGCTGTAATGAAAAAAATAATCCAATAAATACTATAAATATTATTTAAATAAAACAATTGAATATTATTTGATAAAAAGTTGTTGAGAAATACAAAAATGTAAAATGATTTTTTAAACATTTGATAACTCAGTATTATAATAATACAATATTTTTGGAATATTTGAAAAAAAGCTTGTAAGATAATAATACATAATACATAAATAGATTTCATGGTGATATGTCTTGGAAGATATCCTAACTAATAACCTTGTGGCTGTATTGAATTTTTCCAAATTTTAAAAATTATAATTTTTAATCTTTTTTTATTCCAATTTCTGGCCAATTACGGAAATCAATAGAGTTTGAGTTATGCAATCAGACAGGCTCACCTTCTCGGTCACCGTGTCGTGAAAATAGGTGGCACTGTGATCCACAAACACCTCGTCCGCCGAGGGCAGCACCATGGTAACCTTGCCCTTGTCCGATATAATGCGCAATATCTCAAGTAGAGCATTGAAGAGAGCATCTCGCTGCATCTCAGCGGTGGCCATCAGAGGACTGTGAGGAAATCCAAGCTAATTAGCTGAGCGGAAGGAATTACTTAGTTAGAGAGGACGCACTTGGCCGTGGCTGCAGCTCGGCTGGGTTTACGTGCAAACAGCAGATACTTCAATATGAACCCTTGGACCACGGACAACATGCCGCGGGTAGCATTCCTTGGGGAACGTAGCCCATAAGCCAGCTCATCCTTGCCGGCGGCACCAAAGACGAAGGACGTCTGCAGCCACTCGGCACGCATGGGTATGCCGGCGGTGCCGAAGACCAGTTTGCGCAGCTCCTATTTAACAGGGATTAGGGATTGCCATTTGAGCAGAGAGAGGACTGTCCTTTACCGTTGCCAATTCGCTGGTGATGGGCGTGCCGCCTTGCATGATAAACTCCTTGTTCATGGTGCTAATTGGTCCGGGCGCTTTTCCAGCTTTTCTTTTTTGCTTCCGTTTAGCTAATTTTGATTTCCGCTCGAAAGAGACTTTTGCTTCGTTCCACGATTTGACTGCAAATGTGCTTCAGCTGGCTTCCACAGCTCGCTTCTAGGTTGAGATTTGCTTGACTGCCTCACTGACTGACTGACTAACCGACTGGGAAACTGACTGACTGACTGACTGACTGTCGACATTTCAGGCCTTTCACACTTCAACGTTGATTTTTAATTTCATATTTAGTCGTGGGCCGAGCAACAACAACAAGAGCAACACGTCACGAACGATGGCACATTAAATTGTGGAAGTCCTTTAAGTACAATGGTAAGAAATTAGGTTTTTCTAATTTAGGTTTTATAGCGAGATAAATGGGCTATGCTGATCAATACTATATGAGATGAGTCCTTAGATAGTGAATGCAAGCCCTAAAACAAAAACTACATTAGCTTCAGGCATTGTCTTACCTCAAGCTTGAGGTAGAGCTGAGCCTGAACTTTCCATAATTCATATTTTTTATGTATATATGTTTACTATTATATATTTTATTAATTTTCATTCCATGAAATACTATATTCAAATATAAATATTATCATCTACAATTTTAATAAATATTCCCTAACATATATATATATTAGTTTTAGCCCACTGTGCGGGTAAATTTCAGAGGACTTGGCTCACTCGTCTGTCAGTCAACGAAAGTAACTTTAAATGAAATTGAATTGAATTTAGTTCTGTGTGCTCCACGCGATATCCGATATGCTGCATATATACATATACATATGACTGGAGAAGTGAAAGTAATATAGGGAAAGAGACATAGAGACAGAGAGAGACAGAGAGGGAGAATAAAGTTGGGCGCCAAGATTTTTTTGGCATGTTTGAAGCCTGCCATGGCGGCCCGCACAACCGGAAATATGTAGTTGTTGGCGCCCATTTGTGCCTATTTCGTGGTGGGGTTGGCGGGGGCCATGAGAACATATGTGTGCAGCTTAATAGTCGACATTACGAGTTATTTGAATGATGTACACATGTCGCTGCAGCCATTGTCTAGTTTTTTGGCTGCCTAACAAGCAGATACTCTCCATTATATGAAAAGCATATACAGGCCTAGTAGCTCAGTTTAGCTGGATTTTACAGAGTACACAAATTCGGCTATTCATTATTTCATATTTTTGAAATGTATAATCGATTAGCTGGTTAACAAGTTGTGTTTCAAATCAACCTTGGAACATGTGTGATGCAATTTAATTAAAATAAATGTCCGTTACATTGATAGCTTCAAATGGCTTTTATTATGTTACAATTTGGTATTATTACACGATTATTATACACGATTTTGTTATATAAAAAAAAAGAAATATTTTCATATATCCGAATGTCGTTAAAAAGCAAATGGCAAAAAATTGATACCCGAACCAAAATGCTTATCTAATAATAATATGAAGTCGGTCACTGTCTACCTCAGCACTTGCTTTTCCTGATCCATAGCATCCTTCATTAAAGACCTAGCGCCCTCTGGTGCTCTCCCCACCAGATATAAGAAATTCAAATACCAATCAATCAAGCGAATTTTAAATGCAGATATCCACAAGCAATATTCAAAGTAGACGCGGCGGGTCAGCCAATTGAAGTACTCCAGCGGCGATCGGCTACTGTGATCATAGATGGAGCGCTGTGCAAAGCGTGCCATGAGGCAGGGTCTATCCACCACGTCACCGTGCATATTACTAATGGCGCGAACAGTATTCAAATTTCGGCTAGAGGAATAGAATCATACGTTATTATAAATAGATTAGATCGGTAGGAGCAATGCACTCACGTCACAAAGAGCAAACAGCGCGGCATCTCCCTCAGTGTACTCATAATTATTTCAAACTGTTCCTTGGCCACCTTCTGTATATGATCGACGTCCTCCTGCGTGAGTTTGCTGCGTATTCTCGGCCCCTCAATTGTCACAGGCTGTTGGAAAAGCACTGAGGCAAACTTCATATAATCGACAACATTCATCCTACGAGCGGCGGCCTTCATGCCCATCTCATCTCGCTGCACAGAGGCCACCCAGAATTGAGACAGAGCGACGCGCACGCTACGTGGCATCTCTTCATAGAGTCCGTGATCGAGTATTACAATGTCCGCTTTGCCGTTTCGCTTGTTTTTACGCACAAATACTAAATGGAGAGAGAGTTATGTTTATGTCTGTGATAGTTGGAAGCGTTTCTTTGGTTACCCACTGTTGCCGGGATGGGGATCTGCATGGACAAACCCCGATTTAAAGATTTGTTGAGCACACATTGTGAAAAGCTTTTGATCAACGTCTTTTAGACTAAGGCCGAGCTTCTTAATGCTCGCCAAATCGCTAACTTTAACGCCATCAATCCATTCCAAGGTAAGCACGCGCTTAAATATTAAATTAAATTATTAAAAATTCCAAATATTTTGATGAAATAAATCTTACTTTCTTGGTGAATCCCCAATACACTTTGGGCACATGTACGTAGCTCAGATTGCGAAGATCCCTGGCGCAGCGCTCTGCGTTCTTACCCTCTTGCTCAAAGTTCAGCTCTTGAACAAGATTCTTGCGCAGATCGTTCAATATCCAACCGAAATTGTAGTCTTTGAAAATCAACTCAATTAAGTCCTGCAGAAAGATAATCGTAGCCAGGTCGCTGATGAACCGCTTCTGTAAATCGCTATACTGGACTTTCACAGCCACCTGCTGTCCGTTATGCAATCTCGCCTTGAAGACCTGCGCCAAGCTGGCTGCCGCAACAGGTGTGTAGTCGAATTCCTTGTAAATCTTCTCGGGCAGTTTGCCAAAATCCTTCCGAAACACTTTCTGTATATCCTCCTTTGATGTTGGCAGGCATTTATCCTGAAGCTTTGCCAATGTTTCCGTGTATTCAATGGGCAATATATGATTGATGGCTGCAAATCCCTGGCCCACTTTTATATAGAGACCACCATTAAGCAGACATGTTTCCAATAAACGGTTGGCACTGGTTTGATGCACCACTTTTCTCTTCTGCTCATAATCTGGATCAATCTCGTTCAGCCCCAAATAATCTACGGCTATCAGTGTGGCGGTCTTCAGAGACCTCCCGAAGCGCACAAATGATCCACAGTATGTGAAGTCGTTGACAACCCCATCGTAACCAATAGCGCAGGCACAAGCGAGCAGACTTCCCAATCTTACGTAGGACACATTACGCCATTTGAAATGGGATCTAACTTGGCTTTGGGCTGTGGAACGCTTGCTATGGAATTGTCTCGGCACCCACAGTTTCCTGCTAACATATCGTAAATTCTGAAATCAATATTTTCAAACAATACATCAATGTTTTTATAAATATGACGCTTATGCACTTACAGGTGTTTGTAGCATTTCCAACAGAATTCTTTTATTTTAAACATTGCCAAACAGCTGTTCACCGCATATCTGCAGTTGTTGCATACCCGCACAATGTTAATGACAGTAACTATCAAATTTAGCAAAATTAATTTACATAAAATATAAATTTCACAATTTTAAAATAAAATAATATATGTTTGATGTACCGAAATTAGAGCATGATTTTAAACATTCTATTTAGTTTCACATTTTGAACAATATATATCTGTTTATTTGACGTAGTCTGATAGCTATCGATTATCTTCGGCTGTAAGGATTCATTGCACAACTATCGATTACACGTTCAAATTCCAAATTTAAATTCCAGCCCAACAAGTATTGAGTGCTACTAGAATTTGGAATCAGATGCTACAGTAGCACCAAATTAGTGTATTATATCTCCGATGTTCTTATTAAATGCAATATATATATATTTTTTTTAAAGCAATATCAATATTATAACATTTGTGTGCAAGCCCTATTTTCTTGTATATTGGTGTATTGCTATCGGTATTTAGCGACTATCGAGCGTGATGATGATTCAGAGATGTCAGCTCTTTTAATGTAAACAAATTCTTTTCAAAAGTTTCTGTATAGCACTGCACAAAATGATGAATAGCGTTATATTTAAGTAAGATAAAAATATTACATTATTTGGATTCACTTAAATGTGCTTTTGTGACCACCAGCTGCTTGCATACTTAACTACGCATGAGGTGACATCTCTGCCATTTGTGTATACGAACGCCGCTTTGTTTGTTTCGCCGACATCTGACAGAGTCAGTTCTTTTTATAGCGTGGTATCTAAAATATAAACCATTTGTTTACTTTAGCAAAGCAGCAGCAGAAAAAGAGCCAGTCTTAGATATTTACAGTGAGTGGTACACACTAGAAGCCATGTCGGGCACCATACTTGAAAATTTAAGCGGACGCAAGCTGTCCATATTGGTCAGCAGCCTGCTGCTCTGTCAAGTGGCTTGCTTCCTGATTGGTGGCTTGTATGCACCTGTACCTGCTGGCCATCAGATCGTGATGGGCATCAAATGCCGGGATGTTGCTGGCCGTCAGAATGATACCAGCTTTTTTCTGTACTCACGAGGTAACGGCGCTTGTGATTCCGTTCAGGATATAGACATCGAGCAGGATCCACTGAAGATGGCCAATCAATTGGTTTATGTGTTTCAAATGCCGTTGCCACGAGACAATCGAACGCTCGACTACTCCCGTTGGCAGCAAAATCTCATCGGAGTGCTTCAAATGGACATTGCATACGACTCCTCGTCGGAGTTGCGGGAGCCCCCCAAAGAGCTTCAACTGACAATTGACACACGGCTTGCATATCGCAACAAAAACGACGAAGACGCAGATTGGAAGCCCTATGCGCACAGCATTGAGAAGCGCTTCTTGGATTGCCGTGCAGCACACGTCGGCCTTCAGGAAATACTTTACACTTGCGACATAATCCCTCTGTTCGAACTGGGTGCACTACATCACAGTTTCTATCTGCTTAATTTGCGATTTCCCATGGACACACCAAAGCGATTAAATCTCCAATTCGGACACATGCACGATATCATATTGACAGCCATACATCAGAATGGAGGCTTCACACAGGTCTGGCTGTTGCTCAAGAGCGTGCTCTTTCCCTTCATCATCGGTATAATGGTGTGGTTTTGGAGACGTGTCCACATACTCCAGCGTTCTCCTGCACTGCTGGAGTACATGCTGCTGTATCTAGGCGGCGCTCTTAGCTTCTTGAATCTGCCATTGGAATACCTTACGTTGAGCTTCGAAATGCCGTACATGCTTCTACTAAGCGATGTGCGCCAGGGCATATTCTATGCGATGCTCCTGTCCTTCTGGCTGGTCTTTGCCGGCGAGCATATGTTGATACAGGATTCGCCCAATAAGTCGACCATACGATCACGCTACTGGAAGCACCTGTCTGCAGTTGTTGTCGGCTGCATTTCGCTTTTCGTGTTTGACATTTGTGAACGAGGAATGCAACTGCGGAATCCCTTCTACTCCATCTGGACAACGCCATTGGGCGCTAAAGTGGCCATGAGTTTCATTGTGCTTGCTGGCGTCTCGGCTGGCATTTACTTTCTTTTCCTCTGCTATATGGTCTGGAAGGTATTCAAGGACATTGGCGACAAGCGCACATCGCTGCCATCCATGTCCCAAGCCCGTCGACTGCACTACGAGGGTAAGTCGAAAGCTAAAGTGAAAACCAATTATTTAAAATATTAGTTATGCCACTGGTTTTATTACCTGTTACGGGATTTTTAAAACCTAAATATCAAATAGTAGGCGATTATTACATTCGAAATCGAATTTAGCAACGGAATAGTTCACTTGAAATCTTCATAAAAATGGCCAAACATGTTCCAGAGGCGACAATGGATCAGCCGATTTACGCCAGCTTCTTCTGTGTAATGGGCGTAACCGCGGCGATTGTGTTCACAACTTTGGGGGCCGCCTATGGCACGGCTAAGTCTTGCTTGGGCATTGCCTCGATGTCGATAAAGCATCCGGAGCTGATTATGAAAGCGATTATACCAGTTGTTATGGCTGGCATTATTGCTATCTATGGTCTGGTTGTGGCTGTCCTGCTGGCCGGCTCGCTCTCCCCTCTGTACAGCAGCTTCACGGCCTTCCTCAACTTGGGTGCTGGGATTGCTGTTGGTCTGTCGGGAATGGCTTCCGGCTTTGCCATTGGAATCGTGGGCGATGCTGGCATCCGAGCTACTGCAATGCAGCCGAAACTTTTCGTTGGTCTCGTCTTGATACTCATCTTTGCCGAAGTATTAGGTCTCTACGGGCTCATTGTAGCCATCTATTTGTTCACCAAATAAAACTGCCGAATAATTAATGAATATAATTTAATTATAACTTTTTTGAACGTAATCTCGATATGTTATAATCTACAATTGGAAGATCTGTCTATTGTAGGTCTTATCTACCGCTTCAAATTCCTTATGCTGGCCACTTTGCTGTGCGCCGGTTTGACCGTCGCCGGCTTCATAATGGGCCAAATGGCCGAGGGACATTGGAAGTGGAATGAAGATATCGAAATACAGCTGACCTCCGCTTTTCTCACTGGCGTCTATGGCATGTGGAACATCTACATCTTTGCCCTCCTCATCTTGTACGCTCCGAGTCACAAGCAATGGCCGACAATGCGTCACAGCGACGAGACGACCCAATCTAATGAGAATATTGTCGCCTCTGCTGCTAGCGAGGAAATCGAATTCAGCAATCTGCCCTCCGATTCGAACCCAAGCGAAATCTCATCACTCACCTCCTTTACGCGCAAGGTGGCCTTCGATTAGGAACTGGCCAAGTTTTATGATTTTCCGTTGTGTGCCAAACTATTTCTTAGATATGTGTTTGGCGAGCAAACATTAGTATTATAATTTCCAGTAACAGTTCTTGCCTAATTTCTTGCATTTAACAAAACATTTATATATATATATTAATATTACTCATTAGCGTTCATAAATGTATTTTTATAGAATTTTCTCTGCATGCTCAAAGTAGTGTCATATCCAAGTCCAAAAGTTTTACTGATATTTGTAGTAAATGCGTGTACTTATTTATTTTTTGTCTGTATGCCTCGGCAGTATTATCTATATATGGAAAACTTTTTAACTAGCCTTTAAGAGACTCTATAATCGAACCCGAACTTTTTTAAGGTGCTCATGGTTGCATGCACAACATTTAAACAGAACATTGAGATATATATTATATACATACAACCAATATCAAATCTTGTCAACTGTCAATCGTAGAGCAATTTCTTACTCCATTAGTAATTCAAATGAATAAAGAAAAGCAATATTTAAATGATCTTTTTTGCCTCTCTACCATATAATTCGCTGCGGTGTGCGATAATTCTTCCAAGAAAATTCTTTTGTTAAGTACACGTAGAACGTAACCACATTCAGGAGCAGGTTTCCGCCCAGCTCCAGCCACTCGGCAAAGCCCTTCCGAGCGGGTCGCGTATGCAGCCGAAAGATTATATATGGCACCAAAAAATATCGCACCTCGAGCAGACGTTGGAAGCACAACACCAACACCAGAGCCAGCGGAAACATCAGCTTAAAGCTATCGGACATATGCCTTAACCCGCAACAGAGCAAAGTCAAAGCCAGTAGATAAACTGGCGCCATGGCATAGCGGAACCACCAAAATCGGCCGTAGAGGCGACTCCATACGTAGAAGGTGTAGTGACGATTGTCAGCTAGCAGATAAGGATGAACCACAGTATTGTAATGCACAATCGTGGCTATGAGCAATGTGGCCAACATCGAGAGCACTAAATGACGTCGCAGCAGTCCTAATGCGAATCGAAGTTGTCGCAGTGTATTGGAGATACCAAAGCCAGCGGCGAAAATGGAAAAATAAAAGAGCTGTGGTAAATGCAGAGTAGCTTCATGTGCGCTCTTGTCGCCTAACACAATGGAGCCATTGATGCAGATGAAACCAATGAAGGGTAATATAATGGAGGCGTAGAAGCAGCATTTAGCCAAAACACTTAAAATGCTATTGCAAATCAGTTGCGGACTGCCTAGCAGCTGTTGCCAAAGCTATAAGAGAAGAAATTAAAATATGTAAATCAAAATTATAGAAGTTCGTTCAGATATTGTTGCGCACCTTGCTGCTAAATAGGCGTACCGGTCGTTCGTTAGCCGGACAAGATCTCGTGCACTGCTGCACAACGGTGTCCAGAACAGTCATGCCACAGCACATGCAGACCCAAACGATGTTGGTCTGGCGCATGAGCACACTTGCAGCACCCCACACAGCGGCGGGCAAATGAGCTTCCTGTTGCCAATAGTTGTAGAACAAAAGCACCATGGTGAGAGCCAACGTGTCAGTATAGTACAAATGGCTGAAAAAGTAGAGTGGAGGCAGCACAGACATTGTAATTGCCTCATGCGCCGCATAAGCATTGCCTCCTACGCCTGCCAGCGTTCGACGCCGTATTTTGTAGAGCAATAGAATGTTGATGCCAGCGCCAATGAGGCTTAGTAGACGGAGCCCCGTGACTGTGCAGCAGTTGATCGGCTGCAGCACCAACGCAATGAGATATAAGCCCGGAAAGGTGGTAATCTTGGAGTCCCACTATAATAATTGCAATTGCCAATTGATTTGATTCTGTTGTCATGGTTGCAATTGCAATTGCATTTACATACCACATCGAATTGTTTGCGACAGAAAGCCAAGCCCTGTGGTATATGAAATTCTTCGTCGATGATGTACTCAGCTGTACCGTTTACGCGCAGAAACAGAGGCAACGAATATAATACAAAGCCCACAGGCAGTACTAATTTCCAGGACAACGACATTTTCACAGGGCCATTGATCAGAACACTTTGTTTATTTCTGCACAACGAACCGGCTAATCTAAATAATTTTATCGCCTGGAAACTTATCGATATTTTGGTATTTTATGATTAGAATTCCTAATAATACCAAAACCTTTCTTTAACAGATCTGTTATTTTGAAATTTGTTGCGGGATAAATTTGCAACTGCTTACAATTACCAGAAATGAATAAAAATTATATTAAGCAACATTCATTAGGGATTTAAAGAATATTTAAATTAGTTTTATTGGGGGTATAAAATTGAAAAGAATTATTTCTGGCGAAACTACAAATCGCATTCGAAAGAAAAACAATTAATATTAAAGTTGCAATTAATTATATAGCCCTAAAGTAAAACTTGAAGTGCATTAAGTGGACTGGAAAAAATAGAGATACCTTAAACACCTTTGAATACATTGAGACGTAAAATTTATAAATCACATATTCTAATTTTAAGTATTTTGATTGAACTACAGAGCTTTTTCAAACTGCTTCAAATCATTCATTCAAAAACTTTTTGTTTGAATTTATAGGAAATGATAGCAACAGGTATTTGAGAAATATGTTTTAGTAATTTTTTTTTTTGCTATAAAAGAACAATATTTTGCAGAAATTGAAGTCTGGTCACATTGTCTGAAAAACAGCTGTTGCTTATATACTTTCTGCGAGTGCATTCTACATTGTTTATGTTTTTACTTTCGGTTTTGAGAGTATTTTGAAATGAGCAAAACTATTTTAGATCTTAATGATGATTGCATTGAGTGTTTATTTAAATGTCTTCCGATTGATACTCACCTGAGCTTCGCAAGAGTTTGCACACGTTTTCGAAACGTTTGGCTGAATTATCGTAAATACATATATGCTCGACTTGAGGTTGGAGAAACAAGCGCTGAAGGATTTCAACAAGAGCTGTTGTTACTGCGACAAATAAGTGAACATGTAAAGCATTTAACTATAAATATGAACAGGAACTTCGACTGGAGTGGGGCGCCATTAGCACAGTTCATGGCAATCCTACCAAATATGTCTGCACTTGAACGTGTTTTACTCTGGATTAAGGAAAATGAATCACATAAGACTTATGAATGTATCCTGCGAGCTCTTGAGCTATTGCCAAGGATGCAAGGAATTGCCACCTATCAAGATAGTTGGTTACCCAAACAAAAAGTAATCCATTGAGATATTTATTTATAGCTTTCTTTCAGATAACGTTATTGATAGTGTGTATCAGTTCAACGACTGTGAAAGCCTGCTTAGGGAATCGGCTCACAGTAGAGACCCGCTCATGGAATTCATTGAAAACCATACGAAAATACGCGTGTTGCTATTCAATGATGCATCCATTCGGCCAACTCTTGAGGATCTTGTGCGGCACTCAACGTGTGTTAAGGAGCTCACTTTTCGCATGACCCAAAAGGCTGCTGAGTACGTGCCTCTGGCTGAACTGCCTGCGCTAAGGGAGCTACATATCTTTGGCAATGGCCAGCAACAGGATTGCTGCCCTCTGCTACCATTAGTAAAAGCAATATCCTCCAAGCTATCCCAGCAACTGCACACCTTAACGATTAATGCGCCTGGACTTGGCTATCCAGAAGCCTGTGAAATTGCACGTATAAATAGTTTGCAGCGATTGGATTGCCATCTTACAGATCCACAGTGCCTGGAACCTTTGATTGCTCTCAATCAGCTCACTGAGTTATTTATACAGCTGCCAGACTGTAGTCCTATCGACGACTTGGTTTTAGATATAATGAAACATTGCCAGAAGCTAAATGTTTTAAGAATAGATTTACCAAACTTAGGCTCAAATTTTCTTGCTGAGGCTTATAAATTGCTGCAACAAGTGCGAGATCCAAGCAAACAGGAGCCATTAATACTTCTGCTGGGCATCAATTGTACAAATTTAGACAAGGTAAGCTCATTCGCATTGAGTCTAAATCAATTTTAAAAATTAATATATAACTCCTAATTGCAGAATATGAATAGTTATTTAAAGGTAATACGCCAAGAATAACAATTAGAAGTGCTCTAGTCGAGACTGCCCAATATCCTGATTCCTGCGTCCTGATGAAGAATATATATGGGGTGTGTCGCGCCTCCATCTGCCTGATATTTTAAGTTCAATGGATTCAGGACATAAAAAGACGTCAGTTGATTTTTTAGTTTGATTGAACTAGTTTAATAGCATAAGAGGATAAATAGATAGGAAATAAATTGTATTTAGTCAAATTAAAATAAATTGTTATTCAAACGGCATGCGACTGCAATATAAGAATGTCATAAAAATTAATATTAATTAAATCAATATATTGTATATAGATTAGATATATTAAAGACGCAATTTTCCAGATTGAATGATTACCATTTTAATTTTTTATTCGGCATAATATTTGAATTTACATATTTTTAACATATAATAATTTTTAATAACAAACAATACAACTTAATGACTACCAAGAATCCTTGCCCAGCTGCTCAGCCTAAGAACTAAGACGCGATCCTCGCAGCTTGTCGGGCGTATATATATATAAGGTTTATATTACTTTTGTGTTCGGATTTAATTGTGTTCGAGTGTCTGTGTGTGTGTAGATGTAGCTGAAACCTTTAGCTGTCCTGATCATAACAAAAACTCCACCTTGCGCATTCGTTGCTACTTGTTGACGCTCCGGTATATCATTGGAGCGGATCGATCGTTAGTCTTCGTGTGGCGCAACTTGATCGTGGCGAATTGCGAGGCGCTGCAAAGATGAACGAACATTGCGAGTAGAACCAGGCTGCACGCCAGCTATGCTATGCTACTCTAGTTACTACTGAGGCAGAGCACTTACTACAGACTTGTTTGTACAATACATTTATGCTTATAAGGGAGGCACAGAGACTTGTGGAGACAGGGCTAGTAAGCGACTTTTACAAAGTGTGGATTTTGTGTGTTTTAGTGGAATACCGTCTACGGGATTGTAATTTGTGTGTTGGCTTCAGTAGCCCATGGAATAGTTGCGATAAATACCGCGCCTGCTGCAAATATATAAAATACATTTATTATATACTCCCTTCATTTGTTGTGTGTGCTAAGAGAATGTAACATGATGCAAGAGCTTATGACTAAATAAAAAAAAAAAAAAGATATATATATATATAATATAGGTATATTTATGTATATATGGTTTATGTGTTTATGTTTAGCTTAAAACTGTGCGTTATGCAAGGCACCAAAATAATGGAAGCTCTCACGCGCTGTGAGCCCTGAAAGAGTATTAAGCAGTCGGCGATTGATGATTGGAGCATAGTTGAATTTTTCTTGATATATATAACAGAGATTTGGAAGCACTTGGAAGAGATTTATCATAGTTTTAGTAATTATTTAAATACATTTTTGATCAGATTTCTGGTAACTTAAGAGTTCAAAAATAGAATATTAAGTGCTTATTTCTAATGTTTCACTGGGAATTGAATCACGCTTGGTTATTTCACATGCTCTCCTCAATCGCCGTCACGCTCGGCGCATTTTCTTCTCCGGTAAGAAAACGGCGAAACTACAAACTCCTTACAGAGCCCGCAATTTGTTTTGCTCCTGGCCCGTTGCCCCTGGTAGCTATTTCAGCTTGGCGCTGGCAGATTTCTGACTGGTAATGCCGTGCTGCTCCTGGTCCCAGAAGTCGTACCACGGACCGTAGCTCTTGTTGCCCACGTGCGCCTTCAGATTGCGCTCCAGTGTCGCGCTGCTGTTGATGTTGTTGTTGTTGTTATTGATGTTGTTGATGTTGTTGTGGTTGTTGTTGCTGCTGTTGCTGTTGTTGTTGTTACTGTTGTTGTTGGAAGATGATTTGAGCAGGCGCGTGCGCGGCAGAATTGTGGCAGTTGGTGCCCCATTAGCTGCATTAGCTGTGGAGTTGCGGGTCAGCGTGCTGTCCTGATCCTTGGAGCTGGACTTCTTCAGCGTATTGGTCGCAATCGTGGATGTGGATGAGCGAAACGTGTGAAACTCCATTTGCTGCTGCTGCTGCTGATGGTGTTGATGCTCTCGGCGTCTCAGCTTGTCATCCTTGCGCACCAGATGATCATTGATCACGATGCAGTCATAGGGGTCGGAGCTGGTCGACTTGATCTCTGCCTCAGACTCATCCTCGCTGGTGTAGTACTGCTTGAGTATATCCTTGCGCTTGAGCGTCTTCATGACCAGGCCATGATTGCCAACGCCTCCTCCGTTGCCCGAATTGCCGCCTCCATCGTGCTGCATGTCATCGAAGAAGTTATTGACGTCGCTCATCTTCAACGTGCCATGATCATCGCTGTCGCCCTCATCCGTGGAGTGGGGAAACTGTTGTTGGTGCTGTTGCTGCTGCGATGGCTTCGATCGGGTGAGCGTCTGGGCCTTGTGCTGCGGCGTGGAGGAGGCCAGTGAGGCGGAGCCAGAGCCCTGCTTGTCCAGCTTGCGGTGTCCATGGCCATAATCTGACTGCTGCTGCTGCTGACTACGGCGGATGGTGCTCAAGCGTTCGCTTTCCGACGGCTCCTCTATATCAATCTCAATGGTCTTCATGATCTTCATGCGTGACTTGGGCGTATAGCCGCTGCTCCTCTGCTGCTGTTGCTGCGGCTGCTGCGTCTGTTGTTGTTTTTGTAGCGGCATAGCCGGACTCACTCCATAGATGTTCTCATCATCGTCGCCATAGATCTCTGTGCTGGTGATGCTGTCCTTGCGGCCACGCTTCTCCTGCGACGAGCTGGAGTTCTGCGACTTGGTCAGCGTGCCAGTGCCGTTGCCATTGCTGTGATTGTGACGCTCTCGATCCTCGTCCAGGGCTCCGACGTCCCGCATCTCCTCCATATTGGGCGCTGCAACCAGGTCGCGATGCTGCCAGAGCGACATGCCAGCTAGGATATCCTCAGTGCGTCCTCCGCCAAACTTCCAGAAGGACTTGGTGCGCTTCAAGCCTGCACTGGATGCCTGCAGTATCTCATCGTCCGAGGCAATCAGATCGTATCGCATTTTGCCACCGATGCCTCCGCCGCTCTGTCGACTCAGCCGGTTCAAGCTCTTGTCATCGATCTGGCTGTCCACGCTGTTACGGAAATTACGATTCAGCGTCCACGAAGCCACATCCCTGGGCACCGTGTGGGTGTTGGTGTCCGCGCGTCGCCTTCGTGGTGTTATTTTTATTGGTGGGTTAAGCGGATAGTCGTGGGTGCGGTTGGTGTGTGCGGGCGTGGTTAACACAAAGGATGCGACAATGATGAAGGGCAACAAAGTATATAATGATGATACATGAAATCAAAAGAACAATAAAAGAGCAAACGAAAATAAATAAGGTTCTTAATAGCATATAAAACATATATTATATATTCGGATGAGGTTACGATGGGTGCGCAGATTAGTGACAATAGCAGCGAGTGGGCAATGATATTGACATATGCTAAGTTTATATACACTCATACATACATATATTTCTGGTGGTGGGGCATTGATAGTCTATACAAATTATTCAAATTAGATTCAACTGCTTAAAACTTAGTTGGACTACAAAATGGAACTACTTCAAATTTATGAAAATAAAATAATAAATGATTCCATTAAAAACTTATTAAATTCAAAATGGGGATTTACTTATTTTTGTGTTTCAAAATATTTAGATATCAGAAATAAAATAAGAATAATTAACCAAAATATCCTTAAAGTATTTATCTATGTTCTAGCAAGTATAGGTATGAATATACCCTCAACTCTAGGTAGAGCCCTTATCAATCTTAGCTCCTTCTGTTTAATGGGTAGCCTTAGCTGAAACAATCCTTTCAAGAAAGTAATTTTGAATTCTTATTCATGTTCGTTTCAGATTTGTTGACATTTAAGGACAATTCATTCATGGCTAAATGGACTGAGCTCGTCATCAATATCTAGGATATACATATATACTTTATAAGGGCCCGCATTGCCTTCTTCTGGCTGTTACATACAATTTAATAACTCTATTATATTCTGATTCCCATTTCCCATAGACTCAAGGTATACAAAATAAATAAATGAAAATGTAAAAATAATTCCTATATTCTGATTTGGTACTTCCTAAAGCTCTCAGATGTCGAAGAAATGTATAAAAGTAAAAGTCAAAGATGAAATTGAAATCGAATAACATAAAAATAATTATTCAAGCGAATCTCTCTAATGCAGAATATGCATCCTATCAATGCCACACACATACACACATGGCTAATATCCACCTCAGCTATTACACTTACCGTATGGGCACACGCTGTGTGGCTGGCTCCTCGTCGGAGTAGTCCACCTCGGGCTGTGGCGGCGGCTCATTGGCGAAGCCGCTGTCATTGCTGCTGTGCAGCGAGGTCTTTGCCGCCGCTGCGGACTTTGTGGACGGCTGGCTCATGGAGCTCTGCAGAGGCAGGCCAATTATTGGAGAATTCGGTCAGTGCAATTCGATGTGCTCACCTGTGCGCCATTCAGCAGCTTCTGCTTGCGTCGCTCCACGGCAGCGGGCACGCCGTTGGCAGCGCAGAAGCTCTGCGAACTGTTCAGCATACGGGCGCTCTGGCTCTGGCCATTCGGGACTGGAGCGGGCAGCGTGGGCGGCGGACCGGGGCGTGGATTGGCTGCCGAGCCGGAGCGGTACTTCTTTTGCTGCTTGATGGTGTCGCCGAACATGCGCGTGGGCGAGGACTCCTCGGCGCTGTGATTACGGCGTCGTCTGTACGTGGCCTCGTTGTCCATCAGCTCCATCTGCGCTTCGTATTGCTGCTGCTGCTGCTGCTGTTGCTGCTGCTGCTGCTCATGGTAGCTGCGCAGTCCGCTGCTGGCGTAGCTCATGTGCATGTTCTCATAGCGTCGTCCGCTAGATGGCGCCACCTCCAGACTCTCTGCATTGGTGTAGGCCACAGGGAACCAGCCGAAGTGCTGCGTGCGCAGATTCTCACCAAACTGCCAGCCCTTGGCCTTGCCGCCCACCAGGGCAATGCGATCGCCCTCCTCGAAGGACAGCTGATTCTCACCCGAAGGCATATAGGCATACAGTGCCTTGACCAGTGGACGCTGATCCCCACGCTCCACCTCACAGAGCGGCAGCTGCTCCTCAATTATTTTGTGTTTGCTGCCTGCAATATGGGAGGGCCGGGTAGAGATATAGATAAAGATAAATAGAGCAGGCCAGGTGAGTTAGTTTACCTGTCATAGGTCCAGCTCCAACGAGCGCCAAATTGAAGTCGGATTTGGCACGCGGCAAGGAATTCTGTCCATAGAGCGCTGATCCCGAGCCACCTTCACGCTCGTGCAGAGTGCGCATGTCTCCGTACGGGGCATCGATGCTGCGCGATTTCTTTAGCTGAGCGCCCATGCCTTGGCTCTGTAGCTGCTCATCATCAGCGTCTTTGATGCGCTCCTGGAAAGACAGATGGACAGACGGACAGACTAAGAGAGCTGCTAGGGCTGGGGGCTGGGGGCTGGGGACAGGGACTTACCAGGCGCCTCGTATTGCTGTTGCTGCTGCTGTAGCCGCTCTCGTATGCGGCCGGCGGTATTATCTCACGGGAAGCGGCAATTTCTTGCCAATTTTCGAAATTATTATCAATTACTGTTTTGCCGGTGGTGTGGTAGGCCATCCAGTGCTTGGCGATCGAGCACTGGCGCTCCAAGACGAAGCCATAGCGACGACGCTCCTGTGTCATGGCCTGTGTGCGTACAAGAGTTTTTGCTTATGCTCAGCTGTCGAACAAAAGACTTAGGCAACGAACTTACATTCTTATAGCTCTGATCACAAAATATATCGAGTTTCTTCTTCTGATCCTCCAACAATTGTAGGCTCTAAAATAATATTCGTGTGATCGTGATCGTTAAGGCAATCGAAGACCAGCATGACTATATGTATATACACTTACTCTCAGCTCCTTTTCCGTGTTCTCGGGCGTGGCCTTTTTCTTGCGCTGCTTCTTCATTGTGGAGACAGCCTTCTGGTAGCTCTCCATGCGCACTTTGTGCTGCTGCATAAACTTCTTCTGCTCATGCTGCACCACTTTTGTGTCCTTCTCCAAATTTGTCTCCAATGGCACCAATAGATCAACATAGAAGGCTTTCAGCTGGAGGCAAGGGAAGTTTCGTATATATTATATGGATATTTTGAAATGGAATGGGACTAGCAGAGAGTTAGTGTGTGGGTGTGTGTGTGTGGGATCGAGAGTATGCCAGAGGAATAAATTGCGAGAGTGAGTATCGGAGACTATGCGTATGAGTGTCTTTCTATGTGATTCTCATGAACTATTCATGTTATATTACTTTTACTGCACTTACAATATTCATTTGTTGATCCTGAATCTCCTTGTTGACATTCACAACGCTCATCAAAGCTGAACCTGCATTGTATTATGGATTCAGAGTATCGTTGATTAAATATGAATCTCACTCTCAATTGCATTCTTTCACCGTGAGGTCTTACCAATATCGCCCGTTCCGCTTTGCTGCGCGTTCATCGCAATCTTGGCCAATGCTTCATTGAATAGACGCGAGGCTGTTGCGGCACCTGTTGCATGGAGTGGCACGAAATGCATTACAAATTAGTTAACTGTATATGGCCAGTCGAGTATATAGTCTATATGATGATTACCATGCAATGCCTTCAGGTAACTTTTGCCCGCCGCAATTAGCTGTCTGGCACCCGGATTGAATCTATCGAGTATATTCTGCAATTGCATAGATTAAAACAAATTAATGCTGCTTGAATAAATATTGTGATGTGATCGCATATGTTAATTAATTACAATATAATTTATGAGCTGCCATATCGCATTCCTAACGACAGATCATTTAACTCGGCAATTATGCTTTGTTTTTGCTACCCTGTATACATGCAAAGAGGGTATATATGCTGTGCTTATTTTTTTTATTTTTAGAATAGAAAACTTTTTATATCCGATATCTCTGATATACACAAATGGCTTAATATTTATATATTAATATAAAATGTATTATTGAAGTTTTTTTTTAAAGTATTGTAATATATAAAACATTGCAGCTTTAACTTCATGAGCTCAGTACAGATTGTCAAAATGGAATGAATTTCCCTGCATATAAAACTTTTTTAAAGTGCATATAAAAAGTTGTTGTATCTTATATAAAGGGTATATGCCATACATGTGTCTTGCTTGAGGTACACCAATATTTTATTTAATTCCATGTCTCATATCACACTGTGCTGTGCATTTCTCGCGAGCCTGTCTATCTGTCGTAATGGTTTTTCACGACTCGCTTCGGGTAGTAAAAGTTCGTTGTATAAGCCAAGTGAAACACACAAAAAGAAACATTATTGTGGTCAACACAAAAGACATATACATCATTAGTTCCGCGTAAGCCGCCAGCAAAGACTGCAGAGAGCAGAGAGTCGACGCCTGGAGTCGCACCGTGCTAACTGCACCTGCGCATTGGCTAAGGCCACACGAATGGTGAATGGAATGGAATGGGTCGACTAGGCATATGCCACCGCAGCACCTTAACGACAGTAATCTAGTCATCATGTGTTCACTGTGAGAGCATTGCGACAGCTTTCTTCGCTTAATAATCTAAATAAGCAGACAGATTAAAGTCAGATTCAAATGTTGTATAAACCACAGAAATACAAATCCGCCTTGAATTGGTATTTAATTGGAACTTCAATTTGATTATGCCTTCTGCATGGGCAGCCACAGCAAGCTAACCGTTTAGTGCAATACTTAATAGATAAAGTTTAATTAATAAACAAAGCCATTTACGCTTTAGCGTTGAGCAATGCAAGTCAACTGAGCAGAACTCGAATTGACCTTTGATATTAGCAAAATTAGAAGTAATGGGAAGGGGATGAGAAACTGAATAGAAACCCAATCAAAATTGAAAATTAAAATTTTCTTTACTCTTCTTTCTTAAAAACATCAATTTCCAATATTTGATGTGTATATGCAAATAATATGTAAAATAAATATATATTCTATGTTATTGTTGTATACAATATATTTAAAAATTATGTATAATTATTTTTTTTTTTAATTTCTGGTATATTATAATAAAAATTATTAATTGACATTTTAATTGTATATTCTATTTTTCATTTAATTTTTTTTATATATTAATTTATATAATATTTATATAAAATATAAGAATTTTATTTCACTTTTTACAATATGCATATGTAAATTATATAAAAAACAAATATTTTTCTTAAAATTCTACATTTTTGGTTTTCTTTTTCGTAGTAGTTTAAATAGATTTTATATTTTTTATGTTTTATAATATTTCAATTGATTTTATTTTCAAATTTTATGTAACTTTAAACAAATATATATATATTTGTATATATTTAATTTAATTTATTTTTTTTATATATTTTAAATATTATTTTTAATTCATTTTCAATTTAATAATTAAACTAAATATTTATATCTTTTTGATTTTTTCCCCATTATTATCATTTCTATGTGTACTATAAATTTATTATTAGATTAATGACGGCATTCGAGACAAAACATGAAATTTGCCGGTGAATCATGTAATCAGTCAATAAAAATCTGCTAAGCGCACAGAAAAGTTAGATAACTTAGAAATGCAATAAACAAGCACTTAAATAATAATGAATTGAGTTAGCGACAAAAATGCATTTGCATACAATGACAGCTGCGACTGCACTTATCGTTTCTCAGGTGACGTAAATTATTTGGTCACATTGAAGTCGCAATGAGATCAGCTCGAGCCCAACACAAACAAACAGAAGGGCAAGACAACAGCTCTATTTGGGCAGTGCATAGAGCAATCCTGGGCTGGGCTCTGCTTGGCTCTCTCTCTCTCTCTCTCTCTTTCTCTCTCTCTATTTATATTTGAAGACAATGCCAAACCTCTGAATCGCTGACACGCAACAACGGCTCCAAATGCTGTGAGTGACTCACAAAGCGCTTTATTGTCAGCCACTTGACATGGAGCACTCAGACAGACAGACAGACGGAGCTGGCGAACCTGTTCGAGCATAATTAATTACGAGCCCCTTGAAGAATTTCAACAAATATTTTTTGCCTAGAACCGACTTCCTGACGGCACAAGCGAGCAGCACAAAAGAAAAGCACTCATAACTAAATTGTGAGTACTCGCCTGTACATGCCAGCCAAAATATAAACACAATTAGCAACAAACTGTCAAAAATTCAGAGCCAATAACAAAACACAAATATTTTGCTTTACGAAAACAATTTGAGTTTTTGTATGCAACGTAAAAGATACAATGAATGTCAAATAGTTGAGACACCAGCTCAAAATAATATTTATACAATTTTTTTTTTTCAGCATTATTTTTATTTGTTAAAAAATTTATTAGCCGCAAATCGCAGCGTTGAGGCGTGGGAATGCCTGCACTCAGACTGAGACTCAAACTGGAAATCAAACTGAAAATCAAACTTCATATAAGCAAGGTCAGAGCGCGGCTCATACTATGTATATAGCTTCCATTTATTCGAGTGTTTACTTTCATGACTTACTTTAAGAGCTAGTCCTATCGCAATTAAATGTTTAATTTACATTCAGCTCGAAATTGTTTAATTAGTAAGCGAGTGCATGACAAGTGAGCCAACCCTGACATCAGCTAAGCCTTGCCTGCATTCAAATATCTATGTATCTATATATCTATGTATCTATGGGTCTATGTATCTATGTATCTATGTATCTATGTATCTATGTATCTATGTATCTATGTATCTATGTATCTATGTATCTATGTATCTATGTATCTATGTATCTATGTATCTATGTATCTATGTATCTATGTATCTATGTATCTATGTATCTATGTATCTATGTATCTATGTATCTATGTATCTATGTATCTATGTATCTATGTATCTATGTATCTATGTATCTATGTATCTATGTACCTATGTACCTATGTATCTAAGTATCTATGTATCTATGTATCTATGTATATATGTATCTATGTATCTATGTATCTATGTATCTATGTATCTATGTATCTATGTATCTATGTATCTATGTATCTATGTATCTATGTATCTATGTATCTATGTATCTATGTATCTATGTATCTATGTATCTATGTATCTATGTATCTATGTATCTATGTATCTATGTATCTATGTATCTATGTATCTATGTATCTATGTATCTATGTATCTATGTATCTATGTATCTATGTATCTATGTATCTATGTATCTATGTATCTATGTATCTATGTATCTATGTATCTATGTATCTATGTATCTATGTATCTATGTATCTATGTATCTATGTATCTATGTATCTATGTATCTATGTATCTATGTATCTATGTATCTATGTATCTATGTATCTATGTATCTATGTATCTATGTATCTATGTATCTATGTATCTATATATCTATGTATCTATGTATCTATGTATCTATGAATCTATGTATCTATGTATCTATGGGTCTATTTATCTATGTATCTATGTATCTATGTATCTATGTATCTATGGGTCTATTTATCTATGTATCTATGCATCTATGGGTCTATGTATATATATAGATACATAGATTATATCTATATATCTATATATCTGTATCTATGTATCTGTGTATGCATCAATGCAATGGATTTGTGCACCTTCAACTTGCCTATGGTTTATTAGGCTATAAAAAGTTTGAACAATTTGTGGCTTGAGTAATTATAGTGGTTAGCACAGCATTTAAATGGACAGTTATGATAATTAGCTGTGATTGGGTGTATTTAAGGTACGCATGTGCCTGCCTGTAAGCCCAGTTCAAGGCAGAAATGCAGGCCTTCAGAAAGCAACGGCCCAAGCAATGGAACTGTAGTTGTCAAGGTTGTAGGGAAAATAGGGAAAAGTATACTAATAGAATAATGAATTGCATCAATGTTAGTTATGGTTTTCACTCAGTAAGCTATAATTTAATACACTCACTTGCTTATATTAATACTACCACTACTATATAGTTTTATATAGTTTCTATTATTTCATTATTTATGCATGAATAGTGTTTTACTATTATACTTGTTTATCATTTTCCCAACCAAAGCTAATTTGTTTCGTTATACTTTGGGTATAAATTTCATTCCTCATACCTAAGCCGGCAGCTGCTGCTGCTGCTGCTGCTTTTGCCCACCTGAGCTGAGTTACCTTTAGCCATGCAATTTAGAAAAAGAGCTGACGCAACTTTTATCACACCCGCAAATCTTTTTAGACGGCGCAAAACATTTAACCCAAAATAAATTGAGCGTCCCTCTCGAGCCGCTGCGCCCCTGCCCTGCCTGGGCCGGCTCTAATCGCCGCTTAACATAAATCGCCTAGTGAGCTCGGCACATGTAATTTTTTTAATTAAACAAAACAGAAATAAAAAGAGTCGCAATTTTGTTAGCCTTCCTCTCTCTCTCTCTCTCTCTCTCTCTGTCTCACCCCCTACACATTCTCCTCTACGCTTCTGTTTCCTTGGCTGGCAAAGTGGTATCAAATGGGCCCGGCCATAATTCAACGACGCCAGCGGCCACACCCACCGCAGGCATGCGAGAATGCAATCCGCCCAGGCACCAACAACAACAGCAAGAAACACGAGCCGCAATTATGCCAATTAGAAAATGAAAACTTGCAAATAAAAACGAAATAAAGCAACGACGACAGCCAAATGGAAGGCAGCCAAGCACGCAACAGGTACTCGAGCCACAACAACGAAAAACTTGTCCGTTGACAAAACTTTGGTAAAGGCGTCAGGGCGTAACCTCGCCCCCTGCCGCCTCAGCATGCCGCTTCAGCATGCGTGCAAAATGTTTGAAACTGTTTGCGTGTGTCTTCCCAGACCAACAAAAACGAATAAATAATAAAAAAAATAAAAAAAATGCGAATCGTAGGGCTTCGCCTGTCCCACTCGGACAATGACATAGTTCCATTATGGCCCAAGCTGAACCGTGTGACATCGTTCCAAGCTCTGACTCCCTCTCGCTCTTGCTCTCTCTCTCTCGCTCTTGCTCTCTCTCCCTCCCTCTCTAATGCTGCAGCCTTAGAAATGCCTGGGTCTACTACTCACATTCCATCACAGTCACATTCACATTCAAATCCACAGTCACAGTCGCAGTCACAGGCACATTCACAGTCACAGTCACAGTCTCGGCTCCGATTCCTGCTCCCACTTCGCATTAGACAGCCGTCGTCTCCATCAGTCTCTGTACTTTTCATTTATACTCATTGCCCTCTATCTTTAGCTGCTGCTGTCACTGTTTCTGTTGTTGTTGTTGCTGTTGTTGCTATTGTTGTTGTTGTAGCCTCAGCACTTGGAACACCTTTGGACGTCAACGTCGCTTCGTCCCACTTGTGCGCCATGCTGAGCTGCGCTCTTGAGTGGCTTCGCCTAGTCTTCAGCCTGGTCCCCAGACAGACCCAAGCAATTGCCAGGTCTTTTGTATGCCCACCTGGGCATCATTCGCTCTGGCCAACAAACCGCTTATTGCAGCTCTGTTTCCCGCCATGCCGACAGAATGTGCCATAAATCCATTAAAGTGTGTGACAAACAATTGCTGCTGATTTATTTCAAGCACACATCGTCAGGTGGGCAGGGAACGATCTGTGGTCGGCCTTTATTTGCCCACAATTATAGAACTGAAGATGATGTCCCACATTATTATTGTAATTCATAATAGTTGCTGAGAATATATAATATAATATAGCTATTAGCTATGTCTGCTTGGAAAATTGTTAACTCTACAATTTCTTTTATGCATTTCAGTTTTATATTTATATATTTATTTCATATACTGTATATAAGGAAGTATCATAAATCCTATTTCTGTTTTATGTATCTGACTGCTAATCTGACTATCGATATCCATGCTCATACTCTCTCCATATAACGTATTTATTACGCCCTAATCTCATTCAGTTTATTTGCTACTTTCTCTTTTTGACAGATATTCTCCCTATGATAAGGTTTATCTATCACTAATATCTGATCATTTACATGGAGGAAAGACCCAATATTTTAGTGCAATTTAGTATATCCCATATACTATCTATCTCCACCAGCTTAAATTGTAGACAAAATAAAAAAACCATAATTATTTATTATATTTATTTTAAAACTTAAAAACTTGAATAATAAATTTCAACTTGATATTTAAATATATATATTTAATTTGCCAGCATTAAATTTAATACCTTCCAGTTTCAATCTCTCTCTGGGAAACTGAAAGTAGATAGCTCTATCTCTCTCTCTCTCTCTCTCTTTCTCTATCTCTCTCTCTCTTTCTCTGTCCATCTCTCTCTAGCTCTGTCAGCTAAGTATCGCAACCTTCTGCAACGCGAGAGTACATCCATAAAAAAAAACATGAATTGTTAATCCGAAAAACAAACTTAAATCAAATTTAGGATGGGGTCGCATTAACAAATTGAGCTATCGCTGGCAATAATAATCGATGGCAATCAATTAATTTGCCAATAACAATAATAAATATATAATGCCAGTCACATTATTATAATCGGTCTATAAACTACTCATGGCTGACAGCTAATCAGAGTCTGTGACAGAGTCGAACGCGACGTATAAATCACAGAGGTATGTATTAAATATAATCTTAGGGAAAAGAGCAGGAAGTTATTTGATTAATTCACAGCAATTCATTCATATTCATTTGAGAGTTACGTCCTAGCGAATTTGTTTCCTGAATCTTTTCGCGAATTTGTCACAATAATTAAATAATTTTTGTTTTTGTTTTGTTTTTTTCTGGCTGCACTGTGACACAAAATGCAGCCAAAACAAAACAAAAATGCAAATGCTGTTCGAGTCGAGTCAAGTCGAGTCAAGAAAATGCAGCCATGTGCAACATGAAAAGCCGAGGAAGCGCCAAAAAAAAAAAAAAAATAAAGAAACTGAAAAATTTCCGCAATTTTTAAAGCCGCAAAACAACGACGACGACAACAACAACGACGACGACAACAACTGTTGCTGCTGCGGCTGCTGTTGCAAGTTGTGAAAACTAAATGTTGCATAATGAAATAGATGCGCGAAATGTGCAACATGCGCCGCCCCTCCCCAAAGCGCCGCCCCGATCTGTCCCCTTCAACGCTGCCCTGGCAGATGCCACAGCCCCAGTCAGTAGCTGAAAACTTGCCAAACTCCCAAGACACTATTTCGTTTTCCATTTATTTGGTTGTTTTTGTTTGCATTGTTGTTGTTGTAGTTGTTGTCGTGTTATTGCAACTGCCACGCCGTGTGGCACAGACGCAATTGAACTTGTTTCGCGCCGTTTCGTTTGCCATATGACCGTGTACAATAAAAAGGTCCACAAAACAATAAACAAGCCATATATTTTAATGCCGTAGCGGGACGTGACCAAATTCGGCTGTTGATTTCCAGCCAACGAAATTCACTTTCAAATGTCGTTTGGTCAGCCCCAAACGAGATCTGGTCCCAAACAAAACACATAAAGACAGACACATATTTATTGATGGTTTTATCTGCAACTATTATTTTGCTTTACTTTTTAGCTTATAGTTTTTTATTTACTGATATTTTTGTGTTTGTTTTTTATGGACATCGCGTGCGGTGATTAATTTAAAGCCGATCTTAAATGACAGCACGGAATGAATTGCCGACGCAGAGATACGCACCTGAGATACCCGAATAATATTAATTACAGCTTCAATATTCAAGAAAATCTCTAAAGTCAGATATTCTTAATTTCAAATTTTATTCAAATCGAAATATCCTAGAATTTACAATTTCTGCTCCATACAAATATAAATTATGCAACAATTATCCCATTAACACTCTAAATAAAAGTGGGAGGAGGCTTGTTTGGCTCATCATAAGAAAATTGGTATACTAACTAAAAATTGATCATTTGAATTTTAAACAAGTTTTCTCTAATTTGGCCCAGGGTATTCAGCCCCAGCTACACATTTCTAGCATAATAAATTGTTTTTCGAATAGTTGGCATCATTATATGGGCTGCAAGCGTTTAGAAAATATGAAAATTAGTCGTCAGACACCTAATACCTAATAGAAATGGCCTTCACGCAATTCGCTTTTGCTTTTGCTTTTGCTTTGCTTTGGGCCAATTGCGAGTCGATTGCATAAGAGAAACAACTGCGGGGCTACCACTGTGAGGCTGCCGGCAGGCAAATTGTGTAAGCCACAGAGCAAATTGTTTTCCCTAGATTAAAATCTCATTTTCATCTAATAGACGCCAAACAAGTCGAGTTTTCACCTTGAACGGACCTGCATTCAATTTAAATAAATAATAAATAAAATAAAATGTTTTATCTCCAAATTGAATAATGACTAAATGAAGTTAAACCTATTTTAAATACCCATGGAAAATGGGAAATCAAGGCTTCTTGGGATTTTCATATATATTTTTCAATAGCTTATTGGAAAATAAAATTTAAGCTTTGCTAGACAATTATTATAATTTATTATATATAATATTAAAATGAGCTTAGCAAGTTTTCCTTGCTGCAGTTTAAGACTAAATAAAGCTAGTTTACTGTCTTTCAGTAAAACTACTTAACAAATTTTTTAATGTTCAAACAAGTGTTCTCTTCTCTTTAAAAATGTACTCAATTAAATTACTTATTTATTTGTAATTTATCAAATTTTGCATCTACTTTACAATAAATATATGAAGTCAAAAATTTGCAAACATTAAATGTGTGATTTATTTGATATTCTACAATGAATTGGATCTATATATATCTTAAAATTTATTTAAGAATTTTCGCTTGCTGCAGACTTTTGTATTAATTTTAACAATATTAAAAAAGAAATATATATACATATACTTCTTAAATTTCTTAAATGAGTTCAATTTGTCTTCAAATAAAAAGTAGATTTTGTGTCTGATATAAGTTATACAAACTCGACTTCTAAATAAAAACATAAATAACTAGAATATTTATTATTATTTTTTAGTTTTCTTTTTATTTTGCATTTGTTTAATTTTAAAAGATATTTCAATCTTGAAAATATATCCAGAAGTTAAAAATACATTTTAATGAATAATTAAATCTCTCTACTTATCCTCGAGCAATAATTGTTTCTATACAACATTGCCTACCTGCCTCAACGTACTGAATGCCCGAAGAAAGCTCATTTGAAATTTCTTTATTACCTCGTAAACTACTTCGGGCTAACCCAAAAAAGGGCAACAACAAGAGCAATGGTAAAAATAGACAAAAACCAAAGAGGTAAAAAAAAAAAAACCTTAAAAACTTACCCTATAAACACCATCAACGAGTTTTGTAATTTCTTCGGCCTCCATTGTGGAACGTGAAGCCAGTTTGGACTGCTGCTCTATAGACGAATTTTATATTTCTGGCAGTTGGGCCAAGTAGCTGAGCTGTAGCTGTAGCTGTCTCTGGAGCTACTGGGACAGATGATGATGGAGCTCGCAGGCAAATTCACTTTCAGCTGCAGCTCTGACCGAATGCGCTTCAAACTGGGACTGCACTCGATTTTCACTTTCTAAAGTGGCACAAACACACATACGCGCACACGACAGGCGACACACACACACTGATAAGACGTTGAACCGGGCCAAAATGTAAACTTGTAACTTTGACTTTCGGCGCAGAATCTTGGAAATCTTGTTTTGAACCGCTTTGGATAGTGTCGTGACTTTCTTTTCGGCGGCCGCACGAGTGTCCCAGCCACGTAACCAGCTAAATTAAATGCCAACACGATCAACGAGCCAACTCTTTTGTCAGCTTTCGGCTTCTCGACGGGTTTTATTTTGGCTTTTTTTTTTTTTTTGGATCTTAGGTAGCGTTTCGAGTATTTGTTTGGACGACAACTTTTCGGCTACTTCTACCGAATTACACTAACTGTAGTTGCCGGCACGTGATCTGATCAGATTTGATCTGATCTGACCTGAGCCGAGCTGATTGAGCTATTATCGAAGGCACTGTAACGAGAAAGAAATTATTCAATATTTAATGCATATACGTGCAGTCAAATGAGTAGACATTAAAAAGAAATTATAACAAACAAACAAAATAAATAAATAAAAATGATCGTTGATCTACAGAGTAATAAAAAAATTTTAATATTAAGGCTTTGTTTTAAGAATGCATAGATGAAGAGATAGGTATGTAAAGATGATAAGTAAACGGCTTGGGATTGAGATGAGGAGATGCACTAACAAATGGACTAGAAGGAGATATAACATGTTAAGGACTCGTAGTAATGATGGACTAAATGCAGATGGACTCGTGAATAATAAGAATAACTGAAGAGAGAGAAAATGATTTATTTACGAATTTATATATAAATATTTAGATATTAAATAAATATAAATGTTAAAATAATTGCTATTTATATTCATTTAATCTTAAATGTATTTTTATGATTTTTTTTTTAATATCGCTCTATTTTGCGATTCTCATTAAATTAAAGGTCAACTCAACAAGTTGTCTTCCTATATATTAATATATTTATTTTGCAATAAAATAACTATGTTCAGTATATACCAAATATTTTAACTGGAAAAAAAAACTCTAAATTCTACCGTAGCAACTGAGGAAGTCTTCATTTAGCAACCGCATTGTTTGATCAATCAGCAAGGAAATATTTCAGCTTCAGACGCAGTAAAGTTACTTCACAACAATAAAAGATGAGTAAATTGGATGATTTGTTGGCCAAAAAGAAAACTGTGGTGCCTGTCTTGGATCTGAGCCGCAGCAACATTCAAACCATAGAGGAATTCAAGAGACTCATGGAAAAGGTGCCCGACTACAAGATGCGACCCATTAAAGTGCGCGCTGAGGAGATCAAGATACGAGAAAAGGATTATGCCTTCAAAATGCCCAAAAAGGAGATGCGCAAGCTACTGAAGGCTAATGGAGAAAGAGAGACGCTCTACACCTATGCAGATCCCATGCCCAGCGAAATGAAGGACGTTGTGCTCATGGAACTATGCGCCGTGCCCATCGACTGGAAAATGCTGACCACGCTGAGGCCGAAGTCCAAGCAAGAGGAGGAGTACTTCAGTCGTATGGTGGAAATGGGCAAATTGGAGCTGAAGACTGAGGCGCGCGACCGACGCGAATTTGCACTGAACAACTGCATCAAGAAGATCAAAAACAAGTCGGGAATTGTCGAAACGCGTCTCATCACCTGCGACTTATGTGGCGAGGAACTGTGCTGGGGTAAGTAGTCTGAAATCAATTCATAGATCGCTCTAGAATCATCTATTTGGCAGGAAAATTCTGTGGCGATTTTAACTACGATTTATACGTACGCGTGGAGGCCAAAGTAGTGAAGCCTAAGCCCTTGGCCAATTCGACCAATAAGGCAAAGCTCAATGGACGAAAGAAATCGACTTTGGTGGGCGCCAAAATCAAAGTAAAGAAGTCGGCGAATGCTAAGCAAACCTAAATCAATTTAAAGTTAACATTTTTACTAATAACTAATAATTATATATATTTTTGATTAATCTTAGTGTAGATTAGTTTTTACTACTCGCGACTGGACCATTGCAATTGAAACTGATTGAATTAATTGATGTATTGCTGTTAACTTGAAATTAAAATAAATATCATTTACAGTAAATGTAAAATCAATACAAATATTTTACCAAATACATATCTAATTGGAATTTATAACACAATTTAACGGCTGGCTAACAGAAGAGATATGTCAGCGTTTTACAGTCTCCTGTAATACTAACAGAACTTAGAAAGAGTCAGAGCAGTTAACATGAAGCTGTTAACTTTATATGTATTTCGGCAGAGCATAATTGACGCTAACAGAATAGAGGAATGCAGGATTCTAATCAGACATTCAAGTATTTCGCAGTAAATTTGTAGTTATGACAAAATTCTAACAGATTCAATTTTTTAGCTTTTTGCAGCTCGCTGCAATTCGAGTAAAGCCATATTAAATGTTAATTAAATTATTTATAACGGAAGTTAGAATATATTCAGCTTTTTGACCGCTAGACTAATATAAATCTGTTAACAATGCGCTGAAAATATCATCTTATGCAAAAATTTTATCTTGTCTTATTCAAATCAAATCTAATAATCAGATTCGCTTGTTGATCAAAATATAAAACGTCATTACTAACCAAATGAGTTTCTATTGCAAATATTTATTGTATGCATAGTCGAATTCACTTCACTCGTTTCGATATGTTTGAGTTGTATAAAAGAAATTCGTAAATTCCTTAAATTTTAAGTAGCAGAGCAAATGCAAAACAGTAGAAATTTTTAAAATATTTTCAACGCCCATAAAAAGTCAAAGACACAAGTTTTGCCGGCATAACAAAAATAAAAATAAAAACAAAAAAAGAAAAAGAAAAAACACATCCAGCCAAATGGAGAGCCAAAAAGCAGCGCTCAAAATGAAATGGCTAAAATATTTAAATTGCCTCTAAACAACAGAGGCAAATAGCCATTAAGGCAATATAAACAAGACAAGGCGCTGCTGCTGCTGCTGCGGCTGCGGCTGCCTCGTCGTCGCCGGTTCGATGGTGGCGCGTTGGCGCACTGGCGACAAACGTTCCCAGTGGCAGCCACCTTATAAAATAAAATTAAAAAAGGAAAAAAAAAAGAGTAAAACGGCCCACTCGCTCGCTTGTGCAACGTTTTGTGCAAGCCTGTCTCTCGTTCTCTCCCTCTCACTCTCTAGCTCTAATTCTGCCGTCTCAGTTGCTCAAAAAGAATGCATTGAGCTGTGGCTGTGGCTGTGGCTGCGACTGCGACTGCGACTGCGTCGATTGCACAGCTTTTGATTACTAATGAGAAGTTGAGTTCAGTTGAGTTCAGTTGAGTTCGGTTTGGTTTCGGTTTCGGTTAGCCGATAGCTCTGATTTATGTGGTTTATTTATGGAAATATCTATTCGCATTGAAATTGAAAATTTACTTTGAATAACAAATTTATAGCATGGCACCCAAGCAGCCAGCCAGCTAGCCCTGCGACGCCGGAATTTCAATTTGATCAGCATGAGGAGGTTCTGTAATGTGGCCAATTAGACTTGAGGGAACTTTGATCCACTTGAGAGTGGTTGGCTTGCATAATACCCTGTAAATATTGAAACTGCAGAAGAAGAGCTATGGACCAGCTATTATTATCCTTAAGAACTTAAATAATCATAAAAAATAAATAAAAAGCCTTTTCTTATAGAAATATTAAAAAAAAAAAGCTGTCGAATAAGATTATATGCTATGTGTGAACTGGAGTATACACACATATAGATTATATGTATGTGCATAAATAAAGACAATAGCCAGATAAAGACAATGATGCCTCATCGGCACAATGCCTGAAAACGGAAGTCGCATCATTCAATTGAAATGCTGTCATTGTCTTATTGGACTTTCATCGCATCAACGAGAGCTAACTAGGCCTAAGCCACTTTCAGATCTTGTCACTCATCAATAAAGCGAAAGACGTGCAGACAGCAGCGATTACGTGGGCAAGGAGAGAAACATGAAATGATATGCCACAGAAATAAAGAAAATGAAATAAAACTATGCAAACAAAACACATAATAGCAATAATGAAAACACAGAAATGAAAACTCACACAAGGCTTACGAAATCGATTTCGGGTTGTCGTCTGCTTGGGTAGACTCTGAGAGATGCAAGATAAACACGATCAAGTGAGAGTGTTGGCGGTTGGAAAGTGTGTTTGCTTTCAATCTGAAAAGATTTCCGCGCGGCTTTGTTTCTGTTTGTCACTGGCCACGCCCCGCTGCGTGCCAGTTAGAATTTCCATGATGGAGGCAAAACAAAAGACTTAGGCAACGAACTGGCGAGGCACTCAGCATTCCAGCAGCAAGCCGCAAGGTTGCAGCTTGCGGTCAACGCTGACAGTCGATACAGGTGCAGCTCGATTACGACTATTTTGCAGATGCACAGCATTAGATACCTCGTGCTCGTGCTCGTGCTCGTGCTCATGCTCGCACTTGCACTTGTTCAATTTATGAGCCAGCTTGGCCGACTGGTTGGCGTTTAATTACGAGTCTGCTATGCAAAAACGTTGTTTAACTATTAAGAACAAGGCTAACTTGGCAATCTGGCCAGCCGCCGGCGGCTGCTAAAAACTTGTCCACTCGCCACTGGCCATGATAAGAGCAAATCGAATGGAATTTGGCGTTTTACAAAAAAGCCAACAGCTAAATGGAGTTCAATGATGTGATAGAGTAAAGCCATATTTGTTAAATCTTGCATTCACATGAGACTTCCCCTTCCTGTCTGCAGAATCTGCAGTTCCACTTCGATCGATCGCACAACTTTCGCCAAATCGACAAAAGTCAGCAACAATTTTCCAAACATATCAAAGAAACACAACAGCCAAGGCCAAAGTGTGCGCAAGGGGAGCTAAGCTGAAAGAGGCGAGACCCTGGGCTTTTATTATCAAATGCTCATCATTAACATTTGCTGGCTGCTGAGCCGGGATCTCGACTTGACGATCAAATTGCAGCACATGCGAACACGTGTGATGAGCACACAAAAAGATTGTTGTTGATGTTGTAGATGTTGTTGTGAAAATGAAATTAAACTAAAGACTGAAAACTGAAAACTGAAAAGTGACGACTGAACACCAAAGACTGACGTCTCGAACAGCTGAAGAGTGAACACTGTAACAGACAATGCACAGACATGAACAGCTCAGCATTGGAGGGGTCCAAATTGCCGCGAGATACATTTGCAAATGAGACTTAGACATAACAGCAAAAAAAAAAAAAAAAAAAAAACTAAAAAACAAAAATGAAGAAGAAAAACAATAACACCGTAAGCCGATGCAAATTGAGAGGCAAAGCGTCTGCGGCCCCCATTGAGACATTGCCCCCTCCAGCAGCCGCACAACTTATTGGCAGTGAAAGTAAAAGTTTAAGTTATTTTCTTTGGGCTGTCGAACCGCACAGCTCGCAGCCCAGAAAACCGACAACAACAACTG